AATAAGCAATCTTGAACAGATGGGTTTTGAGTTGTATTTTAAAATGGAGAATTGAGTCCGTATTTCGAAGTTGGGGTGGTAGAGAGTTCCAGAGGCGGGGAGCAGAGCGGCTGAATGCTCTGCTCCCCAGCTAAGAGTTTTTGGAACGCAGTACTTGCCTTAAAGACTGACAATGATTGTTTTCTACTTTCGGCTACTTTAGATCGCCAATGAAATGTAAAATAATAGTAAATATAGGTATTAATATGTTGAAACTCCAAAAGAGATTTGATTCTTAAGAATACCGTTTGTCCGAGTGGAGTTGTCATATGATGACGTCATAAGAAGGGGCATGGGCCCCGAGCAGATCTGAACACCTGAGCAGATCTGGTACCTAAACCATTAATCACAAAGCTAGGTATACAATTATTTCATTAAGCAGTAGTATCGCGGCTGGTATTTAAAGTGGAACACAGACAATTATAGTCCCATAATTAGGTGTCCCAATACATTTCTAATTTCTAACACTTTCTGCTTTCTGATTTCTAACACAATAGTGCACCTTTAAGATGCCAGTATTGACACGATACGATATACGCACATTTCACACATACTTATATTACTTATTTTGTGGTCTGGAATGTTAATGTTTGATTAATTAACTTTGATCAAATAGAGATCAATAGTCAGCCGATGTATCATGGTATCAGTCACTTCCAGAGCTTGGACTGTTACCGTGGTGATGACAGCTTCCTGTTCATTTAGTGCGAGAAATGGCCTTCTCAAAAGCTGAAGGGTAGCTGTACCCTCTAGCGCCATCAAGGGGTCTCAGTTCAGCATAAGAGAACTGACAGAATATCATGTAGCCATCTGAGCACAAAATGGAACTTTTTGGAACAACAGCAAAGCTACTGTGAAGCATGAGGGTGGAAGCATGTTTTTCTGCATAGGTGACAAGACGACTGATTTGTCTCAAGGGAAGGATAATCAGGTCTGTATATTGCGAGATTTTAATCCGAAACCTGCAAAGGTTCTATAACTTAACACCAAGTTTTTCTTCCAGCTTAAAGTGGTAAATAGTCGTTTTTTTTTATGTCAAATTAAATCCAATTAAAAAACTGACATTTGTGTTTCTCAAAAAAGCAAGTATATATTATATAAGTATATTTAAGTTTATTATATTATATAAGTTTATATAATTATATAAGTATATAAGTGTATTTTTGAAAAATGCCAAACGTTTATTTGCAGACTTCTTCTACAAGGTAAATTTATTATAGGTTAATGTGATGAATTTAAAAAGGTGAAAGTGATCAGTGTGAATCAAAATATTGGTGCTAAAACAGCAGTGGTGTCTGATGGAGCCTGTTTAGAGCTTTGCTGACACCTTCTGGTGAAGATCTTAGATGTCTTCACTTCCACTTAAACTGCTTCTGTTTCCTTCCTGAAACTAATTAATGAACTCCTCTGGAATAAAACAAAAGGCTCTGTAACTTACCCCAGAGTGCGGCACACAGGATCTCAGAGTTAAACCTCTTCTTGTACTTGCGGATCTCCGGCGTGTCGCTCTGAGGACGGGTGTTGACCGGGTTGACGTTGACCACTGAGCCTTTCCGTGATGGATCTGCTCTCAACGCTTCCGCCAGCCGGGCGTCATTGGCGTAGCCTAAAAGGTCAAAGGGAAGGGCTTAGGTAGGACGGTGAAGGAGTTTATCAGACGGGGTGAGGATCAGTCACATCGTCAGTGTTAGAGAAGCGTTTGAATTTATTTTTATGAAATGTTAAAACAACATCAGTGACTATAGGGTGAACTCAAATAAAAAGGCAGAAAATGTAGCCTTATAATGGAACCAAGAAAAATATTAGATTAGAGAATAATGGATTTGATGAAGAAAAAAGTTGCTCCCAATATCAGTGATAACTGAGAAACCTACCATTATATTATTGGTTGAAATCTTTCAGAAATGAGCTGATGCTCCTTAAAAACATGTAGAAAGGATTCTGATTCTGATGAAGTTTAGAGGCCATAGGCTGGTCACCAGCTGCAGCAGATAGGGTACATGAGTAGACGAGGGCTCCTGTGAGGATGGGTTTTAAACTCTATGATCTACGCAGAACCTACTGCTGAGCCTAAAAGAATCTTTTTCTGCAAAAGTTTCTTATGTTTAGGTTCTAAATGTTCGAGTTGAAACGGCTTTGATTTTATGTCTCTTGAACAAACATACTGATCGTAAATGATGACTGAAGAGAGGCTGATTGGTTCTTTGATCATGGAGCAGAGCGAGTTTTGACCTTGGTGGACAGAACCAGCGTAGAGGGACGGACCTGAGTCCAAATTCCTTCTCTTAGCTCACCAGATTGCTCTGAATGGCTAAATGCTCATTGAGCATCCAAACTTAGTAAGAATTACTATCAAATGAAAGCATTATATAAAGCAACCTGTATTAAATATAGATTACTTCAAGGATCTATGGTAACAACCCTGCACAGCCCCCCCGCCCACACACACACATCTCTAGCCGCTTTCTTCCATTCTGACCGTAACTAATTAATCTTGCCTGTGAGGTTGAGATATTAACTGCAGATTCATTGGTCAATGTTTATTTTATTCTTAATGATATAAGTCCATCACAATGTATAATAAATTTAATCATAATTTTTTTGGAAACAAAAAATTTAAGGGAAGCAACAATTACCTAATTTTATATCGATGCCCGCAAAATACAATCCCCAGGATCTTAAAAGTCTGCAAAGACAAACATTTTCTTCTAGCAGGGTTCCCGCGGGTCCTTAAAAAGTCTTAAAAGGCATAGAATTCTTCAAAATAAAATTAAGGCCTTAATTGGTATTTAAATGTCTTAAATCTGTCTTTCATAGGTCTTAATTTTTAAAACATTATAAATAGGATTATTTTTATTAAGATTTATTTTTGTAATCTTAATAAAACGTTAAAATTGACAATTTTTCTTTTTATATATATATATAAAAAAAACTTGCCATTATTGGTTCCGTCCCGATAGCGGAACCAATAAAGCGTTGTTGCGGCCGGGACATTTGGGAGAGCATTTACTTTTTGTCTGGAAAATATGAGCAAGTGTAAATGTAACGAAAATTGGCTCCAGCCAAGAGTTTTCTCCATGGCTAAAACCAGGGAACATACATGAGGCTCATGGATTTTGTGCAAGAAGTCATTCAAGCTCGGAACGATGGGAATTAAGGCAGTGGAGTCGCACATGCGCAGCGTGAAACACAAAGCGTCAAAATGGAGTTACAGAGAAACAGCCGCTATTTCTCAGTTTTGTTCCACCCTTGTCTCTGCAACGCCTCCACTTATCACCAAATCAAACATACTAAGAAAACGATACAAAGAAAAATGGCTGCGAAAAAGACTTAGCACTGGTTATGTTGTGGCTTTAAAACTGATTTGTTTTGTTCCCTGCTAAAAGCTTTTCAAAATTTGAAACATTAGTGCAGTGGTTTATGTTAAAATAAACCTTTGGGTTAAGTTGTTGCAAGCAGGTTTTTCTTGTGTTTCTTGAGAATTTGGTCTTAAATTTTTATTTCAAGTGGTATTAAAAAGTCTTAAAAAGTCTTGAATTTAATTTGCCTTATGCTGTAGGAACCCTGTCTAGACTAAATACAACCAGCTGTGTTTCTTTAAAGAGTTGTGTTGGAGCTATTTATTCTTTATTTCTTTATCCATTTGAATTGTGTTAATTCCTAAACGTATATATTTTTTGTTTTATTTATAGGCTTTATTTGTAACTTAACAGGAAGAAGAAGAAGAGGTCCTCTTTCTATAATTGTAGGAGCCTGGTAAGGACCAGCATGCATTTGGGTTAGGGGCCTATGGGTTTTTATCAGTGCAAGAGAGGTGACAGAGCAAGGGAATGTTTGAACTCTGTAATGTTGCGAAAAATATAGGGAATAAATCAAATCAACTGAACATCTATAAGTTTGGACCCCATGCCTATAGTGGCTTATTGGAACTTTATTGGATGTTTGGTTTGACAAACAATCGTCACTACATGCTGTAAAAATCTTTATCTTAGCATTGGTCCAATAACTTGATTCAAATAATCAAATGGTCCAGACACTTACCGACATTGTTGAGGGCGCTGCCGGTGGATGGAGACACTTGCAGGAGGCGCGGGTCAATGAACGGAGTGAAAGATGAAGAGGACTTGTGTTTCTGCATGTTGTTACTTGACTGGCTCTGTATGTAGAAAGGAGGAAGTATTAAAGGTGATGGAGCATCACAACTTTAGGGCATTCCCATCTTTATGGATATAAATTAAATAGTGCATTCGTAAAGACTGGTTAACACGACACAGTACTTAAACACATTTGTTTCATGCAAACAGAATGGGCAATGCAATCCAGGGGGTAAAATAAGACGTATATAAAAAAAAAAAAACAGATGAAAAACAATAAAACAACAAATGGATGTGTTTTTGACTAACTGAAAAACAACGACACAAGAGGGAAAACGTAGCTCTAAGAACTCTTTCCATGGATTGAAAGGATACTTGCCGTCGAGTGCTACGACCTACTGTCTGGGAATGTAAGAACAAACTCTGTTTGCTGAAAATAGGCAACATTAAGATATAGGATGAGATATACAGCAGAAATCTCTAGTATTTTTCAATAAAACCAGATCAACGTTAGAGCGGCTACTGAAGAGAAACTGGAATAAAAAAAATTTTATCAGAGGCATTTAATCATATTTCCTCATGTCTTCTTGAGGAGCGGTCGAGAGGGATGACAGGTACTGGCCAGCAGAGGGCACTGTGCTCATTTATGGATATTTAGCTCATATGCAGAGAATTATCAGTCCAGCTGATTAAAGCTTCAAAGATCCAACCATGCTGCCCCCCTTTACAAAAATATGTAAAAAAATATATATATATCAATCTTTTATTGTAGCGGCGTAATCTAACATCCTAAAACCTTTAACCTTTGTGTACACGTGCTGGGAAAGATGCCATTCAGAAACTATTTATTAATCAAATGCACATGTATTAGCACCCTGGATAATCAGTTTTAAAATAAATATAAATGAAATTATTGTGCTATTTTCACCCCATTGAGTTGACTGGTTTCATTTTGTTGTCATTTTGGGATGTTCGTATCCTGCCACTCCACACAGAGGAAGGAGGACGGTAAGGAAGCAGTTTGCAGCAAGAGAAGTGGCATTTCAGGCGCAGAAAAAACAACAATTTAAATGCCAGGTATGGATTTGCAGCAGCAAACACTCCAGGTGGATGTAAAATAAAGCAAAGAACCTTGTGCCAACAGCTTAGGGTGGTGGAGGACCTCTGATGCTGTGATCAAGCTGCTCCTTAAGTCTCTTGGAAGTAACACTACTTTATAGGGACCCCTGCTTTATCATTCTGCTTCATTCTATCTCTATTCTCCCACTCTGCAGAATCTGTTAGTTCAATCTCTAACGTTCTCTGCTTTTTCTCAGAGTAGCTTTGCCTCGTCTGTTTCTGTTTGGCTGTGACTCCATCCTGGAGAGAAATATCAGCTGTGCTGCTGCCATCAACATCTTTGTTTATAGATGTTCGAAATCATCTATGAACATCTCAAACTGCAAAAAAATTGAAATCTAAAGAAAAGTAAATTTCCCTTAAAATAAGGGCATTTTCTATTGAATTGAGGGGGGAAGTGAGACTCTTTGCCAATGGAAGAAGACAATTTATATTTAAAAGAAGAAAAAACGATTACTTTGTCCTATTTCAAGTGCATATTATGAAATTATCTTATAGAGTAGAAATACTAAATCCATTGCCAAATCATCTAATTTACCTACTCAAATTTAGGGTAAATACTTAGAATTTAAGATGTACAGTCTCCGCTTTAAAAATTTTCAATTTAACCAAGTCTTAAATTCTTAGATCAAGCCAAAAAGTCTTTTTGATCTTGTTTTGAAATTAACATACTAATCAAAAGCTGATTCTGTTAGATTATTAATCTCTTTTGAAAAACAGTATATTTAAAATAAGTGCAACAATCTTCCATGGACAATAAGAGAACTGCACCTTTTTTGAGAATTCAGATCATGATTTCAAAAGTCGTACGAAGTACAATTATCTTATTGGATTGGAAGATTGGTGCATCTATTCTGAGTAGAATCTGCTCCAAAAAAAATTAACAATCCAACACAACCTGATCTTGCTTGGTATAGCAATCTCAAAACAGGTTTAAAAGAACTTTTTCTGCTAGAATAGAGACTTTTTTTTCCCAGTTTTTGCCGTTTTTACAGCCTGAGCTGAGCTCAGAACTTTAAAACAGTCCAGAATAACTTCAAAACAATCCAGAGATTAACTGTATAATCCAACTAGGGGAAATATTACAAAAGATTATGTACTCTAAAAAAATATGTAGAAGGTTCTGAAAACAGGGGGCCAAATAATTGTGCCAAAAAGTCTAAAATTATCCTTCGACATGTTTTATTTTTTTTCTGAATTATTGAGTAAAATAATTATATTTATTTATTTATAGTTTTGTAAAATGGCGGGGCAGCATGTCCATGTCTGTATTAAACCACAGTCTGACCGGCTCTCATGTTGGGGCTGGATGACATACCTCTGTGAGGATGCCGAGCTTCTCCAGGGGGCTCTGGGGGGACATGGTGGAGGGACTGGCGAGGCTGGAAGAAGAAGGGGAGTTGGATGCAGAGGAGGAGGGGGAGGAATGGTGGCTCTGCTGGATCAGGTCTGGGAGGTGATGGATGCGGCCAGGAAAGCCGTTCCTGTCATTGTGCTGCGTGGGGTGATGGTGGTGGTGGTGATGGTGGTGGTGGTGTGGGGGACTGGGGGTGTGGAGGATGAGTCCCTGCCCCGACGGCGAGCCGGGGCTTGGAGAGAAGCCTGCGAGCAGGCTAAGGGTCTGCGTTTGGCCCGACACGGGGGCTACACGCTTTCTGTTGTCACCTGCACTCTGGAAGTAGAAAGAGGGGTAGACAACTGTGGGTCTAGAAGTGTTCCTGGCGAGCTCAGGGGAGGGGTACGTGTTAGCTGGAGCAAAGGGCGAGCTACAGACACTACTCTACAGGTGGAGAGAAAACTCCCGTTAGTATCTGATCTGGTTAGACTCTTAAGCTCCTGGTACTATTTAAAAGTAGTTCAATATACTACAGCATATTGAACTACTTTTATAAAATAATCAATAAAGTTGAATATTTACACAAAAAAATACGGTCAGCTGGACATTCACATTTTCTGTTACAGCCACAAACTTCAATATATTCTGCTGGAACAGATCAAAATTAGAGACAGAACAAATGTGAAGCAGAATTAAAAACTATGAAGGAATTTATGATTTAATACGGATAGAAATCTGAAAAGTGTGGCATGCATTTGTATTAATCTCTTCTCTGATATTTCTAGTGAAGCCATGTGCCTACAGAATTCTCCCAATATATGTCTAACTAAGAGCAGCATAGAGGTCGATGAACAGAGCAGACGGGTCGGAGAGACATGCTGGAGAAGTTTAAAGGAAATTTGATACTAGAGATCGAATATTTCAGGTTATCTAAGGTAAACAGAGATTATTTAACCCAAAGGTCTGTAATCTGCAGCTCTTAATAACTGAAGATGAAAATAAAACAAGACCAAACAGCATTTAAAGACAGATATAACAAATACTGAAAGTACTAATCATTTTTTTCACCTAAGTAGCAAAGTAAATACATTTAGCAGTTGGAGCTAAATAATATAGACAATATATTAGGGCTGGATAACAATTCAGTAATATTATACATTAATCGATAGACTTGTGAAAAGAAAAGAGGGAGGATAAAAGTTAAATATAGAAACAATGTTTTCTTTCCTTTTCATATTAGCCTATCATGTAGGTTGATGCTGCAGTCACCATTTCCCACCAACCAATCATAATCACGGACCCAGAAACGTAAACCGGTAAAAACAAAGTCTGGTAACACAACCAGCTTATCTGATCATCTAAGCCGCTAACACCAAATGGAGAACGAGCTGAGTCGGCCCCGGCGCGGTTCCAAGTCATCTGAGAAATCTTCAGGAACTTCTGCCAAAACAAAGTAGGCAAACCAAGCTAAACTGGGCTTCCTTCTATGTGATAAATATGACAAAAGCGTTCATAAGGACATCACTCATGCAGTAACATGCTGCATAGCGATGGATATGCTGCCGTTGTCTGCAGTTGAAAAACCTGACTTCAAACAGCTGCTCGCCACACTTGATCCGCAACACGAAGTTCAAGGCCGCAAGTTGTTCTCTAACTTAGCGCTTCCTAATCTGTACAATGATGCAGGGAATCAGTGCAAAATGAGCTGCAATCAGTGTCTAGCTACGCCACAATGTTGGACCTCTGGTCAAGTCGCACATCCCAGGCCTACCTCAACCTGTCAGTTAATTAGATAGAGAATGGAACCTGAGAAGTATCAAGAATCTGTTAGACCCGAGGTCTTCAACAGGGGGTCTGCGACCCCTAGGGGGTCATTGGAGGTACTGCATGGGGGTGGCAAAAGATTTAGTTGATTAGACTTTTTTTTATGTTCCCTCTGCAGTTTTTTCCACTAATTTAAAAATATCTTTAAATACACATTAACCTGAATTCAACACACTGTAGTAAACAGATAAATGGAGGCAGAAGATGTCTTTCAGTCATCAATGAACACATTCAGCGACACACAGGAGCTCTTTCAAGCTGGGCACCGTTTCATCCACAACACCTGTCCCATCAACCAGGAATCAGAATCAGAACAGATTTTAAATTGTAGAGCGTGCAGATGGCGCAGCGGTTAGCGAGCACAACTTATGTACAGAGGCCTTTAGGCCAATTCATGCTTCTGACCCATTACCTCTGCAACCGTCAAATCTGTCTCTGTGCGTACCTCAAGCGGAAGTGTGCAGACAAAAAGCAGCTGTGATTGGTCCTTGCTATGTCTTTCTGGTTGTCTGTGTGGTCGTCCTTCTCTATTCGGTGCCGGGACACGCCATTTTTAAAAACAGAGGAACAACAACAATGGACAACCTACGCGGCGCCCTCCTATGTCTTTATGTCAACTCAATTAACAGAACCTGTTCCTCATAGATGTCTAGCAACTCTAGATCAGTCTCTGTGACTGTGATATATTGCAGATGCGCCATTGTTGTTTTGAAGGATAAACACTCCCGCTGGCGCCGCCAAAGTTCTCCTGACCATCCGCTGAAGTTCTTGCGAGTTCTTGAATGGGCTCCCTCTTGCGCTTTGGTGGGAAACTGCTGTGCGTCCCTACAAATTCCAGACAGAAGCAAAACTGGTTTGCGACCAGACCCTAGAGACATTTGATGTGTCCGGCTGCAGAAGTATAATCTGCCCTTCAGTCCTCGACGCGGCCGAGCTGTGGTCCTTTGCTGCATGTCTCTCTCCCTCTCTCATACCCCCCTTTTCCTGTCAGCCTACTGTCTACTATAAAAAAAAAATTTTTAGACTGTAGAGGCAACATGCAGGGACCAGAATCCAAATGCATCCCACACTTTAAAGATGTTTAATAAAGAAATGCTTAAAAACAAAGTAAGTTTCTGGTTGTAACATTGAATAATGTGAAAGTAGACGGGTTCCTCTTAATGCACTTTTTAGCACGAATGTTGTGTCTGTTTAAGGTGAAACTAATCAGTGATCAGCTACAGGTTTTATCGTCACCTCAGCAGCAGGAACAGAAAATAATCAACAACGTACGACAAAATGAAAGAACAGTGGGGAGATGAAGGAAAGCAATGCTATGATGAAAACAGGCGTGCAGTAAATGAAAGGCCGTTGTTTTCTTCCTGCTCGGCGGGTACCTGTCTGACAACCAGCGTGCTGTCTTTGCACCGAGTCGTCCCTGCTTCGTTCTCGCCCTCGTCGTGAACTATCATGGTTTTCACCGACTCCGTTTCTCCGTTACTCAGCTTGGAAGACCTGAGGGAGAAGATGAGACGCAAACAGGAAGTCAAGGCTGCAGATGTGTCACTCTGATGGATACCGTCACCTTGTTCGGCACGTACACTGCTTTGGAGTCCTCTGGGCCGGACGTCGACTCTTCACCCGCCTCCTGGTCCACCTCTTCATCATCATCTTCATCAGTGGTGTCAGAGTCCTCACTGGATGAGGAATAATCCGTCACCTTATTCTGGGGGCGGACGTCATCCACGGCACGCAGCTCCTTGGCCAGAGCCGTCAGGTCCTGCAGATCATGAAGGGGAAAAGTTTTGTTTTCGCTGAGAACGTTTTCTCTGAGTTTGTTTCCCCTTTAATCCAGGCTGTTGGTAACAGATGACAGCAGATTTGATCACTGATCGTCTTTAAGTGAAGCAGGGAACAGAATGCTGCTGGAGAGGAAGCAGATTATAGAGCCAATGAGAAGCCAAGCGAGGAGAGAAATGACCGTACGGCAGAGAGCTGATGTTCGTCGAGCTGCTGGAGGGAAGGTTAGTGGATTAATTAGAATGATTAAATAATAAAAAGAGCTGCAAAAATGGAGAAAAAGCAAATCTTTCATCAATGTTAGATAAGGTTATGGGTTAAAATGGAAGCCGTGCACCAAGAGAGCCTGTTAGAAAAGATTCAAACAGGAAGTGGAGACCAAGTCAGCAAGAAGCTCCAGCCGACAGTATTACTGTAAGATCGGTTCGTGCCATGAATGGAGAGCAGATCATCAGGAAAGAAAAAACTACTCACACACATTTCTGATCTCAAACAAACCCAAAGCAGAAGTTTCAAGATCTAAGCCAGCTAGAGCGCTCAGAGTTTACGCTCACCGCTGGTTTGTTCGCCTTGACCAAGTCCCTCCGCTCCTCTGGCTTTTTCCCGGCATTCTCCGGTCGCTGGAGGGGCGAACCCTCCGATTTGGAAGAGGCTGAAGAAGGTGGAGGAGGCGGTAAGATAAAGGATAACAAAAAAAAACTTAAAATGTCTGTTTAATGTTCCTTAGGAAGGTGGGATTATCTATAACCCTGCATCCGCCCTGCGGTGCTTAGAGTTAAAGTGCGTGTAAACTCACAGCGAGCCCTGAACCTCTCCCCAGAGCCGCTTTGAGAGCTGGAGTTACTGGAGCTGCTGGAGGAGCTGGAGCCTCCGCTGCCGCTACTACCGCTCGTTTTGGGAACCAGTTTCTCCACCCGTTCCCAGAGGAGCCGAGGCTCTGCTGAACTGCAGAGGCAAGAAAGGCAGCATGAAACGACCGCTCTTCAGCTAACACTGTAATCTATGAACCGGATCTATGGATCAGAGTGAATACTAGAGATTCTGAGATTAATTTTCTATAATTCCCTTTGTTAAAAATACTCAATTTAGTCTGAAGTGATGAAAAAAATCTGGAATAAATTCTGGGAAAGTAAAACCCAGCCTTACTTCTCTATCCTCAGATGCAGAAAATAAATAAAAGCTGCTGATAATTACCCTGCAATAAGCTGAAACAATAAATAATCAATATTTGAAAACTGGAGTTTGAATTTTTTAGATTAAAAATGGCGCCATGGTGCGACAGAAAATCCAGTATTTTACAAACCAAGTTCGACATATGACATTAAAGATTGTTGTTGTTTTTTTTGTCTTTTTTCTTAGCTTCTATGTAAAACTCCATAGCTGGGTTCACACTGATCCACAACATCCTAACTCCTCTATAGGAAACTTTCATGAAAAACTAACTTTTACCTTCTTTAAGATCTAATTTATTGAAACTGATATAACCCTCTACAATGATTGGCTCCCTGTCTTTAAGTTAATGAGGCATATTACCAACAGGAGACCTTTTTTCTAGACTTCTCAAACACTGAGGTTTAAAGTTAATTTTACAGTTTTCTTCCATATAGAATAATGTAGCTCAACTAAAGATTGTCTCACTTTAATATTTCAAACTTTGCTTCTGCAAACAAAGATTTACTTCTTTTCAAAGGTTTTTGCAGTTTATACCGAGGATGCCCATAATTATGGAAAAAGCTGCTATTTCAAGACAATTTTAATGGGCACCATTTTGGACCTGGTAGCACTTGGTTTTACATCACATTGTCTGCATTTCTTTTGGATCGTCAACGTTTTGGAATAAATGTAGATGTTTGTTAGGGCGCTTTTCATTGCTTTTGTTATAAACATTCATAATATAAATAGATTTTAAATTATGTTGATAACAATACTGTAAATATTTGATGTCTGCTTCTGTCTCCTTGAACCCCAGTCGGCCTCGGCAGACTGAGTCTGGTTCTGCTGGAGGTTTCTTCCTGTTAAAAGGGAGTTTTTCCTCTCCACTGTCGCTACAAGCATGCTCAGTGTGAGGGATTTGACATTGTGTCAATAAGTTGATGCATCAGCTGGTTTTCCTTAGACAGAAAACTTTGAATCAATCTGACTGGATGATCTGGTGAACTGTAAAGTGCCTTGAGATGACATGTGTTGTGAATTGGCGCTATATAAACTGAACTGAAATTATTTTACATGTAGAAGCACTAATCAACTAAAATATATATATATATTTATATAGTTTTGATCAAACTTCTTTTTTGATGTTTTGTTCCCTCTGTGAGTCTGAAGTTAGAGAAGGTGAAGGAAAAAAAAAAAAAAAAGAAGAAAGCTAAGTCCTCTGCCTCCCAGTTTACCTTCCAGCATTTCGGAGCACGTCCCTGCTCTTTGGGGCGTTGCTCTGGTGATGAGGCGAGTCTCGCCTCGACAACACCGGAGACCTTGATGTTGTCCTTACAGGAACCTTGCATGATAAAAAAATAAATAAATAAAAAAAACAGAAACCTGCTTACACATCAACACTCTGGAAGCATGTCTGGGCGTCAGCTTTACTGCATTTACAGAAAACATTTTCATCCGTCAGGCTCCAAGAATAACAGTTTGATCCTACGTCAATATGATGTTTTTTTAGTCTTAATTGCTCAAAATATTTTTACCCATCTGATCCATCATCAGTTAACTATTAAGTAGACCAACCTGATGAAGTATCAGAATCCTCCTAGAAGAGGAGAAAACTTTGTTTCCTATGAAGAGATGTCAACTAATCCCACTTTTATATTTATTTACTTCTTTTACTGTTTGGGTAATTTCCTCAAGCTTTTCAGAAAGGAAAAGAAGCCACCTGTCAGTGGATAAGTATTTAGAAATGTTAAAAGATATTTTATTTAGTGGCTTAAGGCTAGGGTTGCCAACTCCCTAAAAAAAAAAAGAAACACGTGATGTCCAGCTGACCTGATTGCCTTTAACCCTCCTGGCAAGGTGAATTTTTTTTATCCCCCCATTTGTGTGTGAAATTATTATTTTTTTTAACTACTTGACTCAAATCTGCATTGAATTAGATGCACATTTGTGAGTCACATGAACACATGGAAAACAAATTCTTATCCAGCAATTCACTTTAATACAAAATAACAAACTTTGCTGAATAAAATAAGTATTTTAAACATAAGCCTGTCCTGCTTAGCTTCAAACTGTAAAAATTAATATGAAACAATAAATAAATAGTGCACATTTTTGGTGCAACAGCAAACTTGTAAACATATTTGTTGAAGGTGCACCACCTTAATTGGTCCCCCATACTGCTCTGATGTCTCCCGCTATCTTCTCGGTGTGCAACACTTGGCTCGACCAATGGGATGACGGTATTCTGGATCATTACATATATGCTGTCACCTCATTGGTCAAAACGCAGGACAGGGCCCGGGAACAAGTTTACCGTAAGTTTTGTTTTTAATGTGCCCTTGTTCTTAATTTTCCATTAGCTTTTTACAGACTATTTTTTTCTCTCACAGTAATACGGGAAAAAGTGCATTCTTTTTCCACTAAATACAGGACAGGTGCTTCTATTTCTAAATACGGAATAATTCTGTTTTTCAAGGGACGGTCGGCAACCCTAAAGGCCGAATTCACAAACAGCCAACTTTAGCTGATATCGGGAAGGCTGAACATGTAACGGCAAACCTGATCTGTTTGATCATTTTAAGCTTACAGTCTCTGATATAGAACATGCTGGATTAAGAAATGTTTAACGTACCTTAAGAGCATTTTATACTTAGCAATGCTAGTAAGATATCGGCTAATACAAGAGCACCTGTTGGATTATGCTTGCAATAATTCTGCTTCCAATATAAATATATTAGGGATCATTTTGAATAAAAGAAAAACCAAAATCTCATGTTTTTATTGGTAAACTGAAATGTAAAAGCCAGCTTGGAGGACCTCTATCGGTAATCTAGCTTTCTTTGTAATAATTCTAAATTAGAAATAATCTCAGTTTCCAGAGACCTTAATCGAAATAGCATATTTAATCTGAGTAAATCGTCTTCCTCTAGTGAGCATCTTTCTGCGATAAAAGGAAAAAAATCCAAAGGGAGTTTAAGTATTGATGCTGTTACTAAAATGTTTGATCTTCTTATTTAATCATGAAACAGAAACAAAATAAAAATCTAACTAGATCCGCAGCTAAACTGTCTTACTCTGGGCGGGGCGTCTTCTGACGGGACCTTTTCATGGGGCAGGGGTCTGGACTGAGGTTGTGTTTGTGGCTCAGGGCGAGCAGGCGTTGATGATAAGAATGATGGAGATGACGATGAGGATGGAGGAAGATGGTGGGACTCATTGCTTTTGTGCAGGTGGTGGTTTTCAAAGCTAGCTGTTAGCGGCTCTGTGAAGGATTGTGACCGGGACATGGCGGGCGGGGTTGAAGCGGATGAGTTTGGCGAGGCCACACTGCTGCTGATCTTCAGCGCGGCCAGATGGGAACGAACCTTTTAGATGACAAGACAGACACAACGGGGAGCAGGGATCAGACTGCATGCAGATAACTCAAACAAAGAACGGGGTTTCATCCATCTTGGATTAGGATTATAGCAGACTATGACAGGAACTTGGATTACAGTTCCTAGAAAAGTACCGTTACCCTTTAAACTTGACAACTGCACGCTTAAATTTAATTTACCAAGATTTTGTGAGAAATAACAACACAAATTAGTTCATATTTAAAATGAGATCATATGTTCTTGTTTATAAAACACTGAAAGTGTGCCAAAGATCTGCATTCACCCCCATTAGGTCAGCACTCTGTAGGTCTCTATAAGCTTTATTATATCTAAAATCAGAAATGTTACCTATTGCCTTTGGCTGAATAGTTCAGCTCAGTCAGATTGAAGGAAGAGCATTGATAAAAATTCATTTTTTATCAGGTTTGGATTTACTTCATTGCTGGAGGATATTCTTTGCCCCTTCCAGCCTCAAACAGTTTTCCTTTAAATATTATTCCATATGTATCTCCATTCATCCTCCCATCCAATCCGTCTACCTTCACTGACCTAAAAGAGGCTAAAAATGATTTAACGAACCAACAGATGTGGTGTAATGTCAAATACCAGGCAATTGTTTTCTTTTTTTAAGAATGTGAATTAAATTTCCTAACAAAATGGCATTAAAAGAACCAGAAATAGGCACAAGGTTTATTTTGGTCATTATCTTGGAAATTAGGTTTTGGTTTTTTGTTATTTTTTGTTGTTTTTTTTGTTTTTAAAGCTAATAAAATCCAATAGAATAAAATCTATGATTCATCTTTCTGAAACATATTTTTCTTGTTTTAGATGCATAAAATAAAACTAGACTGTTAGTTGTTTAAAGCTGCACCAGATTTCCTATGAAAGATATTTAAGAAAAATGAAAAGCAGCGATGCGGAATATTGGAATTTGTACCGATACATTCAATATGCCGATATTTCACATCTCAACTTGCCAATAAGCAGAATTCTATTAACAGTCCTTATGTAGTCTTTTCCTTCCTGTCCTTTACTAAAAAAAAAACGTCCAGCTGTTTATGAAACAAAAAACATCAACACCTCTCACATTTTAACTCAGAATCTCCTTTGTGAGAAACTCACGCACCTGTTGGGCTTTATGTGACCTGCTGGCATTTTGCCGTAAAACAGTGCTTTATATATCAGTGTATTATATTGGTAGAACTACTGATGTCCAATATTTAGCTGTGAAGCTAAAACCAGCCAACAGAATGCCAATAATGTCTCACATCCGTAATAATGTTTTGTTTAATTTTTGCTAAAGTTGAAATATTTGCCAACAAACAACTTAATAAACTAATTTTAATTAGCTGGACTTGGGGCAAAATGTCTCTTTGTATTTTAAAGGCTGGTTTAGGGTAATAGGCTTGTAGAAACTAATCAGATATCATTATGGATACTTGCTCTTCTTCTGGACTTTTGCTGCTTTTATTGAGGACTTTCTTTTACCACAAAGCCTTGCCTGCATCTATGATTAATGATCACTTTGCTGAGGTCTTCTGAAGTGTTAAAATGCTTCCATACTTTCTCTGTTTTCAGACGGACTCCGCATAGAGATGTCTGAAGCTTGTAATGTTTTCGTTTCTCTAACTGTTTTAAACATCTCTACTGTCTCTCTCTAACCTACCTGCTGTAATCCTCAGTCTTTATAATGCTGGTTATTCACTAATGTTCACAATTAAACCTATGTGGCTTTCAAAGCATTTTCATTTATATTAAAGGTATAGTGGATGATTTTCATGAATTTTTTTAAAGGACCCATCCTCACTACTTAAAACAAAAATGCACATGCACAAGGGAACGCCTATTAAATGCGTGTGAGAGCGTGCACGTGCCCATTTCTCCTCGTGCACGCTCTGTTCAAAAGTTACTGTTTGCATCGCTTAAACAAGCTAACTTTCCAAAAGTTGCAATGTTTCCACCATGTCAGACTCACCACTGGTGAGTGAAAATGGGGACGATACATAGGACGGCCTTACGTAAACATATCTCCGGAATGATTGACAGTTAGGAGGACCACTTATTTAGATGATCCACCCAGAAAAAGAACATCCTCCACTATACCTTTAAGATGAAATCCCACACAGCTAGAGTCCAGGTACTAATTACGTGACTTCTAAGATGAATTAGCTGCGGGATTTTATTGAATGCCACCTAACTAAAGGAGGGGATTTTAACATACATGCATGGCACTCTTTCTTTGATTTGTAAACACATTTGAAATTCATCCATAATTTTCCTCTCGGTTTACAATGATGTACTGCTTAGTGTTGAGCTATAAAAGAAAAACAAAAAAAAAACTGACAAATAATTGCAGTTAAAAAAAATAATAAAAAAGACAATATATATATATATATATATATAAAAAATACTTTGCTAAAACTGCACTTCATGAGGCTCCGGGAGCACTGCTTTAGCACAGCAGAGAGGGAGGGATGCTCTTCTTTAACCTATGTTAGGATTCCTGTTAAGGTTCTGCTGGCTTTTCCACCACTCACTAAACATATGTTGCATAATTATCATCTAAATTACAGTACAAAGGACGTCTCTCATTTAACTCCTGCTCGCTGCAACGCTTCATCTGACAGGCCTCACTCTAAGTTCATTATCTCTTCTCAGTAGCTGGAAAGGATTCAAATCTGACACTTTAATTAAATGAAACTAATCTGAAGCTTTTCAGCAGGCAAAAAAAGGAAAGCGGTGCAGTTAACCTCCTCATTTAATCCAGCATAGGCAACACGTTTAGTTACCGCCTGGTCCAACTGGGGCCAAAACTTCTCTGGTAGCAGCCGTTTGAACCCAAAAGTAAGCTGATAAAATGGGATCTGACTTCTCAAATGTACAGTAATGGAAGAGATTAAGAATATCTGTAAAAAAAAAAAAAAAAAAGCCAGTAGAGCAGCTGAAACCTATTCTAAGCTCCAAACACTATAAATGAATCTATATCTGCTGCTGAAGTGCGTTATGTAACAATAATACCCTGAGATAAAAATATGCTTTTGGCACGTTGGAGATGAACACAGCTCCAAACCACTCAAGAGAAAAACACCCAAAATAGGAACCAAGAAAACAGATATATTTTTCATTTTTGTCAGGTTTTAAGGCTCAGTTATGCCTGATGCATGCAGGTTAATGGTAACTAGAAAGTGGTAAGTTTATAAGTAGAAAACAACTGTTTCCACATTTTAAAGCCTCTTCCTCTTATTTAACAGTTATACTAATTACTTTCCAAGTTTTTCTCACAATCTTTGGATCTTGGTTATAGTTATCGTCTAAATTTTAAGATGTCTCCAGATTTTTATGTTTATTACTTCTTACCAGTAAGAGCAGACACTCCTCCATGTGGAGCTTTCCACTTAATTATACATTTTTTTCAGAAATCAGGAAAATCAGGCTGTGATTTTCATTTGGCTTTGCAGAAACGTCAAGAATAAACCGGGTTTTACTCTGACAGATAAAACAATAAAATTTGTGTTTTATCCCAGTGTTTTTAACACGTCGCTGATTTCTTTATCGATTCTCAGCATGTGTTTTACACAGAAAGATCACTCTAGGTCAGAGGTCACTGATTAGTGGACCGGGGTCCAGATCCTGGACCACCTGCTGGCTAATCCAGACCCAACCTGATCTGTTCTCTAACTACAGTGTCTAATTTCTCTTGCACCACTTCTCCTGTTAATACGGTAAAGGCCTCTGGAGCGTCCGGCTCCAGGTTGAACGTGATACAATTAGCCAATGAGCTGCTGTCAGTCTGGGTTGCTGCTGCTGCTACTTTTAGACACAGCAGGCAAACCTGTGGCAAGCCAGGCGATAGAAAAAGAAGGAGAAGACAATGAGAAAATGAAAGCAGGGAAAGTGTGGACTGCTGGAAGAAACAAAATGGTGAATGAAAACTGAAACGGCGTGCTTGAAGATGACCCTGAACATTTAGAGTATGTTTAGCTCAACCTGCTGCTGTGAAGCAGGATTCTCAAACCCAAGTTTAAAGCCTTGCAGGGCAGCATAAAGCCCACTGCTCTCATTAAGCCAGAAAAAAAGAAAGAAAAAAATTAACTGCCAGTTCAGGTGTTTTATAAAATATGTGAATCAGGAAATTGTCTATATAACAAACTGAATGATTGTTGTTCTCTACTTTCAAAAAACACTTTACATTTTAAAATGGAAAAATGTTCTATTTTTTTAAATTTATTTAAAAATTCAATGTATAACATGGATGCATAAAAACCTGCTTTTTATTTCATTGTTAAATAATGTTTAAAGTAACAGATTATAATTAGAAATGTCTCAGGCCCTTTACTGGTTGATGATTTTCTTTATTCGGACCCCGCTGATTATTAATTGGTTACCCCTGCTGTAGTTAAACTGCCTCCTACCTCAGTTTCTTTCTAACTCAGCATCACTTACATGGGTAAGCAGCCTAAATCTAAATATAATAGCACAATTAAAGGTTAATTGAAGAATTTTGCCATAAACTCACCCTGATGGTTCAGTACTGGGTTTCTCTAAAAGGGTTAAAGCCTACTATAATCTCAGCCTTTCTCAGGCTAATTGCAGGCTTTAATCTCAGAGCCTAACCCGTTTATATTCAATTATCATGTAGGTGGGACATTCATTGCTTAAAAAGAAAATAATCCCACACTGCTAATTTAAATTATATCTTTGCTGATTTATGCTGCAGAGGATGAAGATATTGTATCTATCCGATGTTCCTCATCTTAAAAACACATTTGAGATTAAAAAAGTCTTCAAACCATTCCTTCCTGCATTGATGTTATTCTTGCTGAGCTTGAAAAGTTATCCTAACATCATGCATCATTTCAGTATAATCAATTTCTCATAGATTTGTAGATATAAGCTAGGCTTTAATTTCCATCCAGCCTGAATTTTCAAACATATAAGTAGACATTATGTCCTAAGAGATCCATCCAACTCTATTACGGTAGGAAAAGAAAAGAAAAAAAAAGGGAGATCAACTTGAGCTAACAAGTAAGTCAGCAGAAGTCTGGCATGCAAACATACATCTGAAGTCAAACATGCACACAAACACTGAAGGAGCAGCAGAACTACTAGAACCTACCTCTGGTTGCACGGTTAGCATCCTATCTCCTATCTCACCTTAATTATATAAAAAAAAAAATCTTCTTTCGTTATTTTTAAGTTACTTAATTAATAAACATGAAAAAATAGCTTGTATTTAATGAAAAAAAAAGATTTTTAAAGCAATTTATGGGATGAAAGCCACATTTTCAATCATTTACATTTAATTATAGCGTAGTAAACGAATATACAAAACTACAACAAAGCTAAATGACAATATGTTAACAGAAGCCAATTCCTCTGCTTTACATCAAGAGCTAATAGTCGACCAGTGAATTACATAATAACCCTGATTTTACTAAGCGACGCCATTGCTTCCGTATTTTTAATCTGTGTGGCATATTGGAGCAGATTGCCTTTAATGAGCTGTGGTTATTCATGCAAAGCTGGTTCAGTTCCTCGCTGGGAAGTGACTATTACAGCCTGAGTCACTCTGATGCAAATCTGGAGGCCTGTAAATTATAGATGTTGTTGAACAACAGCACAAAAAGATGGCATACAGCACAGGAGCAGAGATGCAGCCAGAAAAACAGAACTATGAGCTAAATATGATAGATAGTTTCACCCTGAAGCTTTTCACTTTAGCCTGTGAGGACTTGTTTAAAAAACATCTAGGATGCACCAAATATGCATTTTTATAGTATCACTGTGTTCACTGACTTCTTAAATAAAATTAATTCAATCGTGGGAAAAGAAGAACAGGAAATGAACCAGATAAATGTATTTCATTGCCTTCGCCATCAGCTCCTGGCGTTGTGATGTCACAAACCTCCCCGTCTGTAAATGAATAAATCATTAGTTTGAAGATTTCAAGGTTTTTCACAGAACACTGCAGCTGTTTGGGGGGGAAATGAAACAGAAGTGATGAAAGCAAGACTTTATATGGAGAATTTCAGCAGGAACACAGATGTTTTATCCATCTTGGATCCCTGGATTCACATGAAACAACCTGAATGTGGTCAGCAAAAACACTCAATCCACAGAGAATAAATACAGGGGAAAAAAACGTATCATCAGTCAAGAGATTATTGCTTGTTTTGTTGCTGTTTTTGAAATTACAAGCAAACATTGAAGTGTTTTTGAAATCACTTGAAAAAGAGAATCATAAGGAGAAATGACAAAAATTTAAGGATCAAATACAATCATATTTTACATCCAGATAACCTACAACTCTGTAATGTGTGAAACAAATAAAGAACATTGATTTTCAGGATAGAAAATAGAACATGGATGGAATCTGTTTTTGTACTGTCTGTTGAAAATCCCAGGCAGTGTGCATATATTCTCACTATTTAATGACACAGATATGGAGAGATATTTGTTCCCATACTGCTGAAAGCAAAGCAAACTTGTTGACAGTATATTGGAAGAGAATACGTTTAAAAAAATAAAATTTTTAATCTATAAAACTTAATTTTTAATGTGGATGCAAAGCTAAAAATGTTGCTATTTCAGATTTCTTTTTTTTTTTTTATCTTTTTGATTTTATTTTTTTAACGTCTTTTCTGACACCTTCTCTTAATTTTTGTCAGATTTTATCTTTTTTTTTTATTTGGGAGAAAGAGCTTAAGAAATCCTGTTAGACAGATTTCACCTTTAGACTTCTGGGTGGTCTGTGTGCGTCCATGCAGTGCAGACACATTTTCTTTACATTTCCTGTTTGTTAAACGTGTTTTTTGTTTTCAATAATATTGGAACAAATTTCTCTAAAAAGACAGACCCAGTCCTGTTGTAAAAGCAGCTGCAGTTTAATTAAAGCGTTATGAGTAAAACTGTTAGTAATCCAGTTTGTGTGGGTCATTTTTGTGTTTTTCTCTCTCCACCACCAGGTGGTGCCCTGTTCCTCGTTGGGCCTCCCTGCACACCTGCGGGTTGTTGGATCATTATCAGAGGTGTATTTGAGCAGTGGGCTGTCACTAGCTCGACGCCAAAGTGTTTGCCAGTTTTGGGTACTCTAGCCAAGCTGAGATTAGCAGAGTCTAACTGAAGCTTTGTTTCTCTGAGTCTAATCTTGTTTTTTGTCTTTGCTCTTCGGCAGGAAGCCTGCCTGTGTGACAGGATAACCTGGACCTTCTCCCCCTGGAAGGATTATTGAGAACATACTGAGCAGGAGTAAACCTCCACATGATCCGTTCAAGTCCTCTTCAGAAAACCAAGTGACAGCGTGCTCCTTTACTCCTCTGGGTCCAACGAAAGTCTACCTGTCCGATCTTCAACGAGTTCCCTCTCCTCTGGATTAATTCCCCACAAACTGGATTCAAGGATTAACAAGAGCCCCCTCAAATGTGAGTTTCTTTCCAGCTATATTCAAGCCTCAGTCAATTTTCCTACGGTCCCTGAACTGTTCACTGTGACATCTCCTTCAGACTTTACGGTTCCGGTTTAGCAGTCCACTGAGTTCCAGTTCGTACTTCTGTGTTTCATCAACATTCCATAACCTGTTAAACTTTTTCCCTTGGTCTCTGAGTGTTATCTGCATGTGGGTCAGATCGCTTAAACCATTTATGACAAAAACCTGGATCAAGTGTTGAAAAGGAGAGATCCATTTAGCAATACTGTTTCTATGCAGCTCAGATACATAAAATATACAATTCAATGGTCAGAGGGTCCCTGAAAAACACACAGTAGACATCCACATAACATTTATCTCTGTGTCGTTATAATTGCATAGGAGGGGATCAATACGCTCAGCTAAGTAGGAGGAGAAATCATTACCTGTGGTTCCACAGGCCGGTGCATCGCTGGCGTCTCGGATGCGGCGTTCCCGTTGGCGTGTGAAGACTCCGAGCGCGGTGGCACCGGAGGTTGCTGAGGTTTGGTCTGAGCTGACTGCGGAGAACCCTGGGCGTTCTTCCTGTACCGCTCATCGGCCTGCGGAGGAAACACAGAAGCTTCAGAAACCGTAGTCTGCATCTCTTAGTACTTTCAAAAGGACACAGAAGACAGAAGTCAACGGGCAGCATGGTTGGTTAGTTTATTTTCCCACAGAGAAAAGCGTTATTCATACAAGCAACAGTTCAAGCAAAACAGAAAACAAAGAATTATTTTGGAGGGCAGTCGTGTTATTTTTCACCGCATTATTCCCACAAGTCAACTAGGAGCAACATGAGAAGCCAAAGGGACACAGGAAGAGGAGAAGTTAAGAGATGCAGTCGGCTCTGCAGCACCAATTCCCAGAAGAAACCAAAAAGTTGCATTTGGAATACAGGTCATTTCACCTTTAAAGTCTGGTCTTTATTAAACTTGACTTAATTTGTACCCCAATAGAAGACAGCTCAAACATTAATAAAAAATACTTTGGGGGGGTTTATTATTTACAAGATATTTGCATTTTCAAATTTTTATTTAGTTTTTAAGATCTTAACAATGTCTAAGGATGAGGGCTGAAACAATAAATCAGCTGAATTGATTATTGAAATAATCATCAACTAATTTAGTTATAAATTCAATCAATTCGATTCAGTTTATTTATAAAGCACTGATTCACAACACATGACATCCCAAGACACTTTACAGAGACAATTCAACCAGATCATACCGTCAGATTGATTCAAAGTTTTCTATTTAACAAAAACCAGCTCATTGCATCGACTCACTGACTCAAAAGAAATCCCTTACAGCAAGCATGCTTTAAGCGACAGTGGAGAGGAAAAACTCCCTTTTAACAGGAAGCTCTTTTGTCGAACAATTGTTATTGGCAAAGAAGCCGTTTTTCTGTGTCAGTAAGGAAACAAACTGACTGCTTCCTCTTACATCAGCCCTGCATCTAAAATAAAGAAATAAAAACCATTAAATGGTTGCAACTGACAGTTGTGAATGCTGGTAAACGTATTTCTTTATTGTTCTTTCAAACATTTTTCCAGCAGCTAAATATGAATCAGATTTATCTTGTGTATAAAAAGGTATCTTTTGCATAAAGGAAACATTTGTTAGAAATTTCTGAACATTTTACACTAAAAATCTTTAAACAATGACCTGAAAGTGAATTTGGGACGTTAATACTTAGCGGTTAAACTCCAGCCAACACATTATTGGAAAGTGTTCCAATTAAAGGCCTCCATAAACAGAGACTGACATCAACAACCACTTCTTTGTCTAAAGCTGCTATAAAGGATACTGACTGACTTTAAATCAGAGCTGCAGCTCCTAGTTTGCTTTTCTAACTTTCTTTATTAAGTCAATCAGTTCTTAATTAGAACTAATTGTTTTCCATTGAGAATCGCAACAGTAAAAACAAGCTTCAGCAGACGTCTGCAAATGTATATAATCTGAAAACGTTTCATTTCTTTCTTTTATTTGATTTAATTTGACATTTACAGATTTGATATTGAGCTACTTGGGTTAGATTTCTTTGGAGTATGTTGTCATAGCAGCCTAGGATAATTCTCATAAAAAAAAAAAATAGATGTATCACTCCTTTGGATTATTGAACATAGATATTTAAAAATCAACTATATTTTTATTTTATCTAACTTAAAATGGTCTTAAAAACAAGCAGGCGATTGTATTTAGCCAAAAGATGAGTCGTCTTTTTGTAGGTTCAGTTTTACTGTTACTAAACGGACAAGAATCTAGTTTAATCATTAAAGTTGTGAGTTGGAGGAAAGAATAACACATCATAGTCATTAAGCCCATCTATTGGAAGCAGGAGTTAGCCACCACTATGTAAGACACAGCAGGCCCAAAGCAGTGAGATCACACAAGCAAAGGAAATGTTTTACTGAAGTCAAATGAAAGGCGTTTAGTGACAAAGTTCACCTCTCTGACCGGCTCAGAGTCAGGTGTGGAGCTCTGCTGGTCAGCCACAGGGAGCCTTTTTTCCAGGCTGGAGCCCTGGCTGGGCTGCGTCTTTTCATTGCTAATGCTCTGCGCTTGTTGCTTCGATGCATCCGGCTCAGGCGTCTGCAGGGCCTTCGCCCTGTCGGCTTCCAGGCTCTGCGGGGCTTTGGTGCTTGGCTGCTGGCTACTTTTACTACTGTCCAGGTTCTGGTTCTGGTTCTGCTGCAGTGACAGCAGATAGGCCTGCTCCTGCTGCAGCTGTCGCTGGAGCTTCTGAGCCTGCCGCTGCTCCTCCAGCTCCCGCCATTTATACTCCTGAGTACAGGGAGGACGGAGACGGGGCTTTGGTTTACCCAGTACTGATTCAAACTCTCAGGTTAAAGCAGGCAGCAGCTGAAAGCCAACTTTCATCCAAAGTTTTGTGTATTTTTTTATGAGTGATCAATAAATACTCGACTCATTATAATGAAGCTGCTGTCATAAAAGCAAAGCTTATTTTTATAGAACTTAATGAGCTCATAAACTGACTCCACGGGAAATGGGGGGCCAGAGACAATAATGCAGTAATGGTCACATCCTTGTATTACATAAGTATTTTCTGTCTTCCCCCAAGAGGAATGAAATCATCAAAAAAAGAAACACAAACACACAGTTACCCAAGATATCTACAAAAGACGGGCAGCGGTAGAGTCAGGGGAAACCCTCTCTTCCCGTCGGATGACTAGTTTCCTGGTGACGAAATTTTCATCACTGTAAACATCCTGACTTCCCCTGTAAACCCTGAGAAAATTCATTCGGTTTTGACCTCAGCTTTTAACTGATCCCCGTGGATCTCTGAACCTCCCTGAAAAAAAAAAAAGTATCCCAACATCTCTGTTCAGTTGGCAGGGAAGCTAAGTGGAAACAGAAACCCTGCATAATGAAGGATCGCTGCCAGCCAGTTTACCAGCCTAATGAAATTTAGCATTCTGAGAATTACACTTGGGATGTAAAAGCAGATGGAAATATGACTAAGACAATAATACAAACTGTGGAGCAAAAGCCAAATTTGTCCTGATGTCACAGGAATTAGGAGATGCCAAAGACTTACAAGAAGCATGGCCTGTTCATGGAGGAGCTGCTGCTGCAGGATCTCCAGGTGCCTCTGCTCCTCCTCCAACTGGCGCCGGATATACTCCTGTCAACCCAACGAACAAATAATAATAATAAAAAAAATCATTGTTATGGTAACGGCAGGAATAGCTGAACATTTTTTTTTACGTTTTTTGCAGATATTCAGAAACAATGCAAATAAAAACGTGTAAAATCATGGCTACACACAGGAGAGCTACCTCCTCCAGACAACACTCTGCTGTACATCTATACCTTATGGACAAAGGACATTCTTTTGAAGTCCAGATTGTTCTAATTTTGGACAAAGAAGACAGGTGGTTGAAAGAGGTGTGAAGGAAGCCATCAATGTTAGGAGACAAAAAGCAACCTTAAACAGAGGAGGAGGACTCAGGTTTACTAAACCTAAAACTCAGTGATATGCTACGTTCACACCTAAAGCAGCAGAGGCAGGAAAAACGCGCGTACTGCATCATTTTTGCATTTCGTACAAGTTTAGTACTGATGCGCATTGGGCGGAGCTACCCTATCCTTTCTTTGCCTGTAACAATGGCAGCTATATTTGCTGTGATCCGTGGGTAAAAAGTAGTTTTAAAGTTTTTAAGTGAGAAAGTCCACCTGAAAACTTAATCAGTGCAGTCAAATTACCATCCTGACTTCAAATATCAATTCTCTGTCGGCTGATTTAAGTAAAGTTTGGTTTATACCCAGAAACCAGGTCGTCTGCATGTGTGTCCCAAAATTTTAGGTTACTTCAGACAGGCCTCTGATTGGTCAAATCTACATCCGCTCTACGCTATGCGTATTTCCTGTTTGGTACCTTACCGGCTTGTTTTGTTTTTATTACTGCCATTGTAGAAAACGACTTATGAAGATGGACCAGCTAGAAGAGCGAGGTGTGTGGAAACGCTGGGACTCCCCGTTTTTTTTACCCTCATGTCCCTCCATTGTCAGACAAACTTGCCCCCACTTCCTCGCCACCTCTGCCGTATCTAGACCCTGATTGTCCCTCTTTTGCGTTGTGGCATGGAATAACTACGCTTTAATATTGGGCATAAATCCAAAATATCTGCTACAAGTTCACTGCGACACACAGCTGCTGGAGGATGTCCAACCCTTTAGGCGACAACAACTAGCTGCATTTTTTTCCTACATCAAATCAGTGAAGTTATTTCGTAGGTAGTAATGGAAAAATCAATATTAAATTAATAAAGAGGAAGAGATACTGAAGCACCTTTTTATGACATAAATGATTAGCCTGGGTAAACCCACGTGTTTGTAATAAATAAGGTGACGCCAGATTTTTACAAGCTAAACAAAGGTGAATTATGTAGTTGTTTGTACATTTATGTACATCATGAAAAATGGGTAGTTCCTGCTGATTTCTGTCGTGTTCAGCAGCAGGCCTGTTTGTCTTTTTTACATTTTATGAGTTTTTTTGAGGGAGATTGTCCATCTTATTTTGTGGCGTGGAAAAACATAGCAAAGACAATGCTTCAATATTGGCCATAAATCAGAAATATCTGCAACAAGCTCACTGCGAAACACTGCTGCCGGATTATAACCAGCCCTTAACCTGGGCTTAATCCTTATTCTGTAATAAAAAAAAAATTTAACTGATCTATAATAAAGAAAATTATATATATATGTATAAATCTCATGTTGATTAACTAGAAGAGTAGAAATAAGAATTTATATTATATGATTATCAGATTATTAAAAAAACAAAACACAAATCCAAGAAACCACTTCCCTTCACATCCAGCCTCAGAGTGAAGATACTTGCCGTTCCCACGTAATAATCAGAGGATGTCGATGTTACCATGTGACATTATTATCAGTATTTCTATTGCAACCATCTGAATGAAAAGTTCATGGCCAGGTTAGGAACCTTCACCACCATTCATCTGATTTAAAAGCCAATCTGTCATCGTTTATTAGTTTACATTGGAGTCAGAACCTGTGACTTTCCAGCCTCCATAATTACATCATTGAGCACAGAAAACTTAGTTGTTGGGTTAACCTAAACATACATTGGTACCTTTATTAGCTGTGGTTTATCGTTCTCTGTGTAATTTATAATTTTTCTGTCCATGTGATTTCTTTTTAATCACTTTATATTCCATTTGAGAAAGTTATGTTATTTATTTTTTAATCCCGTTATGTTAAATCTAAGGATTATGAGAAATCAAAGGGATTTCTGGGACAAATAGTTTTAATAAATCTGAAAAGTTCCTGAAGAAATGCAATTGTGTGTATACTAAAATTTATATTTTAACAAGAAATGGAGGAAGAAACCGTAAAAAAACTAACTTTTTTCTACTTATTTTGTGGTTTCTTTCATATTTTTTAGGCAATAAAGATATTATGTCTTCTCTGCCTAATAGCTTTTTTTTTAATAAATGCTTTTCATTTCTGCCTGTCTTCAGTATGTTGCAATCTGAGCTGGGTGTCTTACAGTTTTAACGGCAGGGTTCCCACCAGGACTTTTTATGAGACATACAGGGAGGCGGGGGGAGACTTAATTACCTCCTTGGGGGGGCGTAGTTCATATGCAAACTATCAGACTAAACCAGAGAGATGCTGCACTGATCCTGTGGCAGCGTCTGTGGGGACGATTGAAACGGCGGTGGCTACGAAGCGGGACAGCATTAGCCGTGTTTCCATCCAACCGAAATGCTTATATTAAGCGACTTTTAAAAGTTTGAAGAAAAAGCATCGCAAAGAGTAATGTCGTCCGGCATGGCTTTAATAAACAAGAAGCAGAAGCTGAAATATATCACTGACCACAGAGGCGAGTTGTTCTTACATTAACATGCTAGCAATGGCGATGTTCCTACATCAGAGCTGAGGATACAATTGTTTCCTCCCCGTCTTTTGCATTAACCCTTTTTTGTGAAAGCCAATAACCAGCTTTCAGTTGGCTGAAATTCGGGACTGGTTAGTCTGACTTACATGTTTTCAGTGTAACCAGTGGTTAAGCTGAAATGTGCTGCAGAGCCCAGATGTTGGTTAAATTGGTCTATTTTTAGCAGAGGCTATGATGATATCAGTGGCAAGAACCCTCTATGGCAGAGGTCACGGATTAGCAGACAGTTGGGATCCGGGACCACCTGCTGGCTAATCAGGACCCACCCTGATTTAAAACATTTCTAAATTACTGCATGCTGTCTGACGACAGTGTCCAATTTCACTTATCAATATGCCAAAGCCCTGCAGAGCGCCTGGCACCAGGCGACACGTGATACAAATTAGCCAATGAGCTGCTGTCAGTCTGAGTTGCTGCTGCTGCTACTTTTAAACACAGCAGGCAAACCTGTGGCAAGCCGGGCGATGGGAAAGAAGGAGAAGATGATGAAAACAAGAGAGCAGAAAAAGTGTGGACTGCTGCAAGAACTGCTGTGAACTGGTGACAGAAAAGTGAAATGTTGTGCTCAAAGATGACCCTGAACATTTTGATTATGTTTGGCTCAACCTGCTGCTGTGAAGCAGGATTCTACGGAGCCCCTAAAGGGACATGAAGGGAAAAAATAAACTTTTGTGAGATCCCACAAAACTTTTGTGAGATCTCGCAAAAAATAAACTTTTGGGAGATCCCGCAATACTTTTGCAGGATCTGGCAATGCTTTTGTGCAATACTTTTCTCGCAATACTTTCTCCCAAAACTATTGCGGGATCTCGCAAAAGTTTATTTTTTGCGAGATCCCGCAATAGTTTTGGGAGATCTCGCAAAACTATTGCGGGATCTCGCTAAAGTATTGCGGGATCTCGCAAAAGTTCTTGTTATACAATTCAATGTATAACATGGAGGCATAAAAACCTCATTTTATTTCAGTGTTAAATTCTGAATGAAGTAACAGATTATAATAAAAAATGTCTGTGGACCTTTACTGGTTGTTGATTGTCTTCATTCGGACCCCACTGATTTATACTTTGTTACCCTAGAACTATGGTCTCATAATGACAAAGAAGATTCTAGTTTATCTGCAGAGAGTCCATCAGCCCTCGCTTCACTATATTTAGTGTTGGCATCAAGAATCCACAAGAGGCTTTGGCTCCTGCCTCAATTATAAATCTAACTGAAGGTTTCTGAAAATTCTGGCACGCAAAGGCTTTTTTACACATCTTTGCTCAGCTCCATGCTGGATGTCAGGACCTCTCTCTGACTCCTCGAGTCATCGCTGCTATCGTTGGATGCAAAAGAAGAGCAAGTAACCTTTTTGTTTGGAACGCCCTAGCTGTTTAGTGTACGACATCAAGTCTTTTCAACTCAAAGGTTTTTAAGTGAAGTCTCTATTCATTGAAATAAGGCAGAGTTGTCTAAAGTTTCTAATTTTTTCCATCAGATCTAAAGTCATTAGTTTTGTGACTCCTGTGACTCGAAAATACATCCTTTTTTATTCCCCCTTAAATAATGTACCAGACAAACACATAACTAACATTAAAAAACAGCAAATAAAGCCTCAGCTTGATATTTATCTCTGTAAATATAATGTAGTTAAAACTTCTGGATGCTGTTATTCATATTCTCTTTTTTTTCTGGTCACCTGCTCTCGGTCGGCCCTCCTCTTCTCCTCCTCCACTCTCCTGCGCTCTTCCTCCTCTTTGCGACGGCGCTCCATCTCCTCCATGCGCCTTTTCTCCTCCTGCTCCCGCCGGCGTTGCTCGCGCTCCTGCTGCCTCCTCATCTCGCGCTCCCGCCGTTGTTGCTGTAGGTGAAGAGGAGTGGTTTGTTACAGCAGGTTTCACCAGAAACCTCCAGCTGGTCGGGTTAAGGTGGTCAGGATGCTTCCTGCAGGATGTTACTCTGCTTTCAACACACCGCCTTCAATCTTAAATCAAAGACAGGATTTATACAGGAATTATATCTCCAATTGAATGCGTTTTAATGCTCTTAAAAATAATTTTAATGCCATCAATAAGTACCCATGACTATTTTGGCAAAATTGTCATCTTTAGCGTCATAAGGCTGCAACCAATTTCTCGCTTTCCAGCCACTTTTGTTGAAATTAGCATTTTCCCGTTCTCTAGCTTTTTCTCCACCTCGAGCTTTCCTAACATACAGCTTTACGATCAACCGGAAGCAGTTCCGCGCAAATATATCACAATATAATATATCTGACGAAATTGTTTTTATAAACTTTTTTTTTAATAAAGCATTTTGCCATGATAATCACATTTAATACATTTTAAAGCAAATTGACTTCTTAATGTAAAAAATAAAAATGTAATGATTTTAAATGATCCGCTGAAACCCTGCAAAGAACGCTCTTCAGCTCTTTTTTATACTTCAAGTTTGTTTAAGTTTTCTTTTATGGCTAATTTCTCACTTTTGAAATAAAGTTTCAGTTAATTATTTTCTTGCAAGAGGATTTATTTTTACAAACATTCAAACTCATAAACACAGAAATTCCTTGGTGATATTTCACTAAATAAACTGGAGGTGAGTAATTAATATGTCTCCTTTATGCTAATGTACAATCTTATTTTGAAGGCACAAAGAGAACAGAAACTGGCTGAATCCCGCGGTGAAAAATCTGATGATGTGTACTCATCTTCCTGTCCACTGAAAAAAAAAAATGCTAGTTGTAATCGTACAAGGCTCCTCTCCTGTGGAACCAACTACCAGTTTCAGTCTGTGAGGCAGAAACCGTCTACTTTTAAGGGTCTGCTTAAAAATTTCCTTTTTGATAAAGCTTATAGTTAGAGTGGCTCAGGTTATCCTGAGCTGTCTCTAAAGTTATGCTACTCTAGGCTTAGACTTTTGGAGGATATAGGGAGTCCAGTTCTGTTTAGTTCACTCTACTCTATATGATCCTGTCTGAAACTTTGGCCGTTTCTCAATTCACAAGAACCTGGGTACGGACTCATGTCCTTGCCAAGTATGTTCTACAGAAGAACACAGGAAAGTATGGACTGGATTTCATCTCCTGTTATTAATAGTCTCTAAATAATAATAAATTCGGACTTTTTTCATCTAGTGGGGGAATAATAATTAAAACAGCCAGATAAACACAAATCAAATGAATATTTTGCCAAATAAAACAAAAAACTCCCCATCAAAGCCAGCGGTCCTTCACACACGGCTATGCAGAGAGAGGGCTGCTGCAGACGAACTGCCGTTAGACGTGGCTGCCGTTACCCTCTGAGCTCCGCTGGTTGCCACGGTCCTCTCCACTTTGGATTTTTTTTTTTTTATTAATTAAATCAGTAAAGTAGTATAGTAGTATAATGTTCTCGCCTCAAGTGATCTTAAAATGTACTTTTACTGAACAAAAGCAACAAAGAAGAGAACTTTTAACTTAATACTCTTAGCTCTGTGAGCGCTCCATTGGAAGCTGCTGCTGCCGCAGTGCATGCTGGGACAGCTGTCAATCTCAAGGTATGATGAGTCTGCTCTGATGCATGCTGGGTAAATATGGAGGGGTCAGAACAACATCCAGGGACTTTGTCTGTTCTCGGTCTTGTTGTTCTTGTGAATTGGAACAGTACTAGGGCTGAGGCTGATAAAGTTTCACGAGCACACGAGAACGAGAGAGATTCTGTATTTCTATGTTCTAAGTTCTATACAAAAAACACAGTAAGGAAAATAGTATTTTTGTATAATTAAGACCAAAAATTTATTTCACTTTTCCAAACATAAAATCTGTCCTTTTTACTTTTTACTTAAAGGAGTTCAAATGGAACATTCACTGTTACCAGTCTTTTTTTACACTGGTATCTGTATTTTAACTTAAGTAAAGATACATTTGAGCAGATAAAATAACACCTTGTCCGTTTTTAAAGCAGAATGTATATATAAGTACACTTAAAGCCTGTGGGTTTTTTTGACGTTTGAACTATCAGGTGAGGATAATCTCCTCATGCTCACCTCCTCCAGCCGTCTGCGCTGCTCCTTCTGCTGCTCGATACGTTTCTGCCTCTCAGCCAGCAGTTGGCGCTTGTACTCCTCCTGCTCGCGGAGCTGCTGCTCCTGGAGGAGCTGCTGGCGGCGGAGGGCCTCGGAGCGCTCCTTGTTCTCCTGCTGCAGCCGGATGAAGTCGCGGCGCAAAGTCGACTCGCCCGGCACGTTGACTATGGAGCTATACAGCAGAGATGACAGGAATAACGAGACGGTGTCACTGATACAACCTTGCTAATTGAAAAAGATCAAACTTGACCTCTGAAAAGAGCAGTTAGGATAATAGGTGAGATGTTAAGGTTGTTTAGCACAAACATTTGAAAAATGCACCTCTTAAATATGGATCTAGAAAAGTCTTAACATCAACAAATAGACAGCACAAGATATTGAGACTATTCTGCTCCATATTTAAATGTTTGGCTTAACATCCCACCTCTTATCCTAATTCCATACTTGAATGTATAACTTTTGTATTATCAAAAACTATGTCTTTTTATTTAATCTTTTTTGTTCCTAACAGTGTTTTCGTCGGATCTTTTCTCGTCCTAACATGCTGATTGTTCTTTGAACACATCCAGGTCATATGCTCAGTCTGATTTGCATCAATCAGTTTTTCCAGCTGTATTTACTGATGGAATCTCTTAACCCCCTTTGGACATTCATTCATGCTGGTGCAGGTTCTCAGTCATCCAGGTCAGTCATTCCAAAATAGAAAATTAAAAACAATCCACTGGACTTTTCTTTCCAACTTTGAAGACGTTTCGCTTCCTATCCAGGAAGCTTTTTCAGTTCAAAATGTCAGGAATAGCGTTGAGTTTTGAGGTTTTATACAGTAGCCCATCAAAGCCTTGTTTTTGTTTTGAAAACACGCAAAGTGGAACAGATGAAGGGGTCCACCCCTTTGCAATGGGGGTCGTTTGGCTTCTTTTGTTAGACTGCAGTGACCCATACCCATCTAAGTGTCAGAAAGGTTGGTCGTTAAAGGGGATTTTTGGCCTGGCTGAACGTCTTCAAACTTGGAAACAAAGTCCAGTGGATTGTTTTTAATTTTCTTTTTAGGGATATCCATTTATCCATCCATTTTCTGTGATGGTTTATCCCTGCTGGGGTCATGAGGGGTCCTATCTCCAGCTGTCTATGGGTGAGAGAAGTGGGGGGACAGGTCGCCAGTCCGTCGCAGGGCAACAAAGAGATAAATAAACACACTCACACCTAAGGAGAATCTAGAGAAGCCATTTAACCTGACAGTCATGTTACTGTTAGAGAAAGCCGGAGTACCCAGAGAGAACCAGGTACACACTGGAGAAGATGCAAACTCTATGCTGAAAGACCCCGGTCCGGGAATTGAACCCAGAACGATCTTGCTGCAAGGCAGCAGTGCTACCTACTGCGTCACTGAGCAGCCCTTTTAGATAATATTACAATTTAATAAAATGAATATACTTTTATTTTAATGTTATATCTGCTGGACGTAATGTTTCCATGAAATTCTCATAAGATTTACTACAACATGCAAACATGTCTGGCTCCACACGCTCCAGCCGTCACTTTAACTCTCCTGTTTCACTTCAGTTCCTCTGATGTCTCTCAAACTGTTATTTGTTTCTATTTTAGATCTTTTTTCCCCAACATTAGTTAATCAAACAGCTTAAAGCACTTCAGCATTTTTCTATGATTCTTTTCCTTCTGGTTTTTACAAACTTGAACCTAAAAAGAGCTCAAATTTACTTTTTTAATTCGTTCTCTTTAAATATGAAATGTTCACCTTGGCTCTCCTTCTTGCTCAGAAGCTTCTTCCTCCTCTTCTTCACTGCCACTGTATTCATACTCTGTCTCGTCTGGCAGTTAAATAAAAATAAAAAAAGGCATGAAACACTTAAAATGTATTCTTAGATCAACTGCAAACTATAGAGAAAAAAAAAGCTCACCTTTCTCTCCCCTCTTCTTCTTGGTTCTGTCGATGTGATCTTTGAGCTGAATGCGGACCTGCCTCTCATTGGGCTGGTCCCGAATGAAGGGGTGCTTCAAAAGCTGATCAGTGGGGGGGCGCTGGGTGTAGTTCTTCACCAGGCAGCCTTCGATGAAGCTGAAGAACTTCTTGGACCTGTGAGGGTGGAACAGAGCTGTGATCACGTATTCATGGAGGAGTCCGTCCTCGGATCAAGGACAAAGAAAGAAGCGGTCAGCTCACCATTTCTTGGACTTCAGTCGAGGAGGCGGGTTTCTGGGGATGAGGAAGAGGGCTCTCATTGGATGCATGTCGCACAGAGCTGCAGCGAAGAACAGACAGACACTGATATTAACTAAATCATTTCATCCTGTAAAATTTAAAACATACTTTTGCAAACTGGGTTAAGCCAAATTAGGGCTGGGCGCTATGGCCTGAAAATAAAATCTCAGTTTTGTTTATTATTAATTCGAAATGGGATTTTTTGCAATTTTCCCCTACTTATTAACACCCACCCCGATCGCCGGCGCTCTGTTGTGAATATTTACATTAAACACAGCAGTATGGTTAAAAATAACACTGTTTAAACTTTTACTAAAATAGACAAGTTATACATCCTTAGAAAGCTTAGATTCTCCATAATTTAACAATCAAGTTAATTTTATGGAAACCACGAGCACCAAACGCTGGTGAAGATTCTCAGTCATCCAGGTCATGGTCATTCCAAAAATAGAAAATGAAAAACAATCTATTGGACTTTGTTTCCAAGTTAGAAGACGTTTCGCTTCCCATTCAAGAAGCTTTCTTAATTCAAAATGTCAGGAACAGTGTTGAGTTTGAGGTTTTATACGGTCGTAACTCGTACTCAACGCTATTCCATTACATTTTAAATTGGGAAAGCTAAACGTCTTGAAACTTGGAAACAAAGTCCAGTAGATTGTTTTTAATTTTCTTTTTTTGGCATGAGCACCAAAGGACAATTAAAAAAGATATAGCAGCAAGTTAAATCAGAATTTCTAAAATAAAGCTCCGACTTCTTTCCTTTGAAGCATTCCTGAGGCCGTATTATAAATCCCATCTTAGATTGTTTATATTCCATTTAATGATGCACCGATGCCATTTCATTGTATCGGCCGATACCGATACCATCTGTTTGAAATTGATGTGTGTGTGTATATATGAAGAACTGCATACTACTTGGATTTAAAATAATTGCCATCATGGCTTTGTCGTGCTGCTGCCTACCTTTGTGAAGCAGGAAAACTTTTTATTGGCTACCTGGAATGGGTGACAATAGTTGAATAAACTTTTGGCTCTCAAAGGCCAAAATAGTGCGACATTCGTGAAATTATACCATGTATAACAGTACTTCAACAGTAAGACAGTAAAATTACATTAATAATTTAATAACCTCTTTTAAACCCTGAGTTTTGGCTCTCAAATGCCAAAATAGTGCAACTTTCATGAACTTATATAACACCTATAATACTAGTGCAACAGTAAGAAAGTGAAATTACTCTCATTGGTCTTGAAGAGGGTAATAGCGATAGTTAACGCTAGTGAGTGTCGGTAGAGAAAAGGCTGCGTTCAAGTGACATACAAACATCAAAATGGTATCGGTGTCCTATTTGTTGGTACTTGCGGATGCTGATACCACCATTTTAGAGCTGGATCGGGTCCACAGATAAAAAAGTAATCCAGCATATTAGTAAGAAAATCATTCCATGATCAGAAAAGTGCCACATAAAGTCAGTTTTTTACCATTAGAAAAGTCCTATCCTTATAGCTAATGCTAATTACCCTAGTTTCCACAAACATTTCCCATCGGTGTTTGGTATGTTTGTTTTCGTCACCCTCCAGCCTGGGCTTCTAGCTGAGTTTTGTTGGTTTGTTCGAGGTTGGTTATCCCAGAGAGACTGCCATGTTTTAGATTCTGTTTAGGATGCTGAAAATGTTTGTGGGGCCTTTAGGTAAATGTTGCAGCGTGGGGTTTCTTGCTTCACGTCTGTCGCAGCAAACCCAAACCAGTTAAAAACAACGGATGATTTTATTCCTTTATTCCAGACTAACTTCCCATCCTCACCGGTAGCTTGCCAAACTGCACTATGGGAGTAAAACTACAGCTACGGAAGCTCTGGGGAGCCAAAATTGTGGCATTACACAAAAAAAATCAATTTTTTGTTTTTAGATCGTCCGCAACATTTCATTCATTCATTAAGTTAATCAAATACTGATCATTCCTTTTTCCCTGTTATTATAACACAATGTTTAGCTCATCCAATGCAATGCATCCCGTTTTCTTTAAAGTAAAAGAATAAATGAGAAGTAAAACACGCAGGTTGTACTTACGGGGAGCTCCCTCAGCCATCTCTATGGCTGTGATTCCACAGGACCACAGGTCACTCTGGAAGACAGAGAACAGACCAAGAACAAACACAGGTATTAAAACGTACAATCACAGATGTTTGAGGTATATAATCTTTTTTCTCATTAAATGGAAGAAAATTACTTGATTTATTAATATTTTTGTGGTCTAAAAAAGTTTTGATGGTGACATTAAAATGTTTTCATCTCTTCTGTCCATCTGAAGCCTCCTTACCCTGTAGTCGTAGGTAGCGTCGGGGTTTTCATCACAAGCAATAACCTCTGGGGCCATCCAGTAAGGCGTCCCAATGAATGTGTTCCTTCGACCTACTGTTCTGTCCAGCTGAGCACTCACACCGAAATCCACTGCGGGGAAAAAAACAGTAATAATCCGTTCTGCATCCTTCACACTTTGTGTGTTTTCCACAAATACATTCGTATATATAGCAGCTCCCAATTCTGTAAATAAATAAGTGACCTAAAGATGACAACAGCAGTGCTCTCAAAATTTTAAGTTATTTTTAATAGGAATATTGAATACCAGTATTTGAGCCTTTTTGACAGAATGATAAAGGAATGAGCACAAAGAGAAGAAGATAGAAAAAAGATGCAATGGTCAGGCTGAAAGGTTAAATAATGACATAATCCGTATGGTCATTACCAGTGCGTAGGTTAATTTCTAATTTAAAACTATTTCAACCAATTACTTTTCACATATTGGTAAAGCCGTTACAAGCTCTCTTTATAAACTTACTTTGGCTGCAGGAGGAAGAGATTTTGCTCAATGAAAGACGTACTACTGTACGTCATTATGGTCTCTTTTTTTAATATGTGTCTTTTTTTAATATATTAGATTAGATAAAACTTTATTGTCATTACACATGTACAGGTACAAGGCAATGAAATGCAGTTTAGGTCTAACCAGAAGTGCAATATCAGCAAGTGCAATATATAGATGTATATATAGATCTATAGATCTATATATAGATCTATAGATTATATATATATGTATACATATACATATATATATATATATATATATATATATATATATATATATATATATATACACATAGATTTCATTAGTTCTGTGATCACCAAACAGTGAGGTACTTCTGCTCGGGGTGCTACAGTTTAATTGAAGGGTCAATTGGTGGCACAGAACTGAACACATCTATCATGCAGTCAAACTACTCCTAAAAAGACCAATAAATATAAGTACTTGCTTCCCACCTGAGGAGTTAATAAGAAATATTTTCATATAAGCTTGTTAGTTTAGCTCAAAATGTTCAGTCAGTCGCTGAACAATTCAAAAAATGTATTCATTTTCAAAGTAAACCGAACAAAGAACCTGTTTCTGCTGCTGCAGCAGCTTAGCTGACAGCTTGTCTATAAGGCAGTTATAGAACCAATCTTTTTAGTGCTGGCTAACGTAATTATAAAATGTTTCCACTGCTGCCAGAGAAAAAAAAAAAGAAACCCTGTTGGAAAAAGGCCTGAATGTGGAAGGAATAACTGAAATGTAAGCCTCTTCTACATATTTATATATCAGACTTTCACCGGGTTTATTGCTGATCCTCGGGTTTGGAGCTCTAGATTCTGCGTTTTCCTGATCTCCATCCATTGTGCCCTTCTAGTGTTCTATCATGGCTGCAGTGGAAACACGTGGCTTACACTTAGTGTCACAGGACAGCAATCAGAGAGTTCACAGAGAGGGCTCTGATCATGAATGGTAATTTAATTGTAAACAGTTAAAGAAATAAAGATAAGATGGACTGATGGAAGGTTCCCACAGATGTCATACAGCAAGGTAGGTTTTTTTAAAATATTAAATATTTTCCCTTATCTAGGTGAATCATGTGTGTTGAAAATGTGCAGCACATCTTACAGTGTCTGGCAACATGTGCTGCACACTATTCCTCTCATCTTAAAGGTAAAAGCTCTTACCCAGCTTGACCTCAGCGTTTTCAGTCAGCAGCACGTTTTGTCCCTTGATGTCACGGTGGATCACGTGATGAGCGTGTAAGTGTGCTAACCCCTGCACAAACACACCATTAAAAATAATATCACACAAACGTATCTCCAAAAAACATTTCATATGTGTACGTTATGTGGAAACTCATGAGGTATTAAACGTTTCGGTTACAAACCCTGAGGATCTCCCTGGAGATGTAGGCGATCCAGTCCTCCTTCAGAGTGTTGCCCTTGGTGTTTTTCACCAGATCGGTGATTGAGCCGGCGCCACAGAACTCCATGACGAGCTGAAGGAGAGAAAAATACAATCCAAAATGATCTACCACTGCCCATATAGACCAACTACAACTCTTACCTTTTTTTTTAACTAAAACGTCTACAAACATTTCAAGAAGCCACATTATTACAAACATCCTAAACGCAGTGAGGATCCTATTACAGCTGATTGTCAGAGAACAGAAAACTGAACGGAAAAATCTTTTCCAATCCATTTAAAATATGCAGCGACTGACAGAGGAAGGCAAAAGTTTTCACCTAACTGGCACCAAGCTGCCTCTGTGTTTAATCCTAATTGGCTGAAATATGAATCAAATGGTCAAATGTTTGCAAAATTCTGACTGGTGCATATTTACTGATGAAAGAAGAAGCAATAAACTGGGAGAAATCAATAAATAATAGACATCCATTTCAATTACAATGCATTATATTTTTATAGGTAGGATTTATATTTCATTGTTCTAATTAGTTACTATGACTTTCAGAAAATGTGAAAACAGAAATAAACACTGTAAGGTTCTACTACTGACTTGTATGTCTGGGTCAAGCAGTTCCTTGCAAAACTAAACAGAACTCTTTTCACTTATAGTTTATTATAGCCTGAAAATTCTGCATAAAATAAACTTAGATCAAGCTAACTGCTCATCAAAGCACAAGTGATTATCTATTTAAGTAGAAGCTTTAGGTTTGAATCTGTCATGAAGCTTTCTTCCCTTTTTCACCAACAAGCCGCAGTTCTACAGCATTCCAGAAACATTCATCCAGAAACGCCGTCATTATCTGAAGCATTCAGGTACCAGATTCAGCAGACTTCTTTAAATTGCCTCTTTTGTCAAATCTGAAGGCCAGTGTGTTGAACATTATGTAAACACAGCTGCTCATTTTCCGGGTCATTTAATTGGAGTTGTTTGTCCTGATGAGCGGTGCTACATCATATTCTTTCTCTGTTGACCCAAATGCTTTAAACCTAGTAATAAGAAAACTTCCAGATGCATTTTTATTCACCTTTTCTCTTTGCTTTCTTATTCTCTCTCCTGTGTGTAGACAGATATTCCCCTGCAACTTTCTTTCAACTTTTATTTCCAGCTTAGAGAGGGCAGATCCAGAAAAGCTTTGCCATTCATGTTTAGAATGGTTTAAAAAACAAGGAAACACTCCTATATGATAGAAATGTGTATAATGATCCACATTTCATTTCTATTTATTGCAGTTACACCTTTATTAGAACAAGTCCCTGAATTTCTGCAGACATGCTCTCTGTGTTTATACATGATAAACACGTTGCCTTAAACGCAGGCTAAATGCTTCCACTCAAGGGACAGATCACATCTTAAGAGACGGTTGGTAGAAAATATAATTATCATAAAAGTAACATGCACCCAGGTCTTTTTGTGGAAACCGTTAAACGTGGTTAAAGAAGCAGCTGTAAAAAAAAAAAAAAACAACAGGGTCTTGGTGTACGGAGGACCAGCTCTACCATATTTAAAAATAAATACATAAATAAATAAATGTTCAATAGATAAATAAGCATACAATTAAATTTAGGTAGAAATTAAATCATGTAGTGAGACATAAATGTATATATTTATATATCTCTTTTAATTAGCTTTATTAATTCGCCTTTGTAATAATTACTTTATTCATTTATTGTCCGTTATAATCTTCAACTTTATTTGTTAATTTTTTTTTTAAGTATTTATTTATGTGCATGTTATAATATTTTTGACTCTTTTATTCTTCCTTTGTATTTTTTAACCTATTAATTTCTTCCATGCTACTTATTTCTGCATGTCGTTTTTACATTTCTGTTTGCATTTCTGCCTCATTATGCAAATGAGGAAGGCATCCCTAAAGTTGGTCTTCGAGGCCCGCTGTCCTGCAGGTTTTAGAGGTTTCCTTGCTTCAGCACAGCTGATTTTAATTGATAGCTGATTAACAGGCTTTTGCTCAACTCCAATCATCATAATCAGCTGTGCTAAATCAGGGAAACCTCTAAAACCTGCAGGACAGCGGCCCTTGAGGACCGACTTTGGGGATGCCTGTCTTAGTGGGTCACCTTCTGC